ATTACAATTGTTGAGTTTATTTTAGAAAATAATCAATATTGAACTCTGCAAACTGATTCTCTGTTCTAAACATCATATTTCATTTGCAAATAAACCAAACTCTTTTTTCATTTGGTTCCAGCCAGCATGTAAAGAATTCTCAGACAATCTCATGGCCACCACATTCACTTTGTAAACCAAACACATTATATCAACTGCTCCCACAACGAAAACTTTAAAGACATGCAACCCAAACCCAAAGAAACCTTTAACATCACAGACCAAGATGGAAAGCAAAACACTCGTAAAAAGTCGTACCGGAGAGGCAGAACCCTAATTTCATCCAAGCACAACATGCAACTTTAGAAAAATTTAAAATTTTAAAAAATTATTGCAATTCATTTATATATTTCAATCGCTAAAACAGACCCAAACAAGTATAATATAATATAGTGAGCAAACAAAGTCAAATATCGTTCTTCAAGCTAAAGAAAGAAACTTCAACAACTTGGGGAAAGCACATAAAAAAAGTGCTAAATATGTTAAAACCAATGAAGAAATGAATGGGTTTGTAAAAGAAGCGCTTACTATTTTGTACTGGTTGAGAAATCACAAAGCTGATTTGAGAGAGTCTGGAGGGACCTGGGGTTTTCAGAAGTGGGGAAGAAGACCTATGATACTTCGGCTTATTTCTCTAATGCCACTCGTTTGGGTTTATTTGTAAACAGTGTTGTAATTTCATTCAAATTGAGGGAAATTTTGGTTTCATTAATTTTTCGATTGGTCTGCCCAATATTGTTTTACAGGACTGCATTTGGTTGATAAAAACAAAATTTTAATTGCAATTTCTTTGACCAAAATAAAATTACAATTATGTCCTCTTGCATAATTACCTAATAGGGTAAAATCAATGGGAGCTGCTAGAATTGGGCTAGAGGTGTTAAACGGGCCGTGCTGGGCCGGCCCATTTACAATCATCTCATTTAATAAATGGGCCGAATCGCGGGTTCATTCATTTATGAAATTATTAATTTTGGCCCGAGTTCATTGCTCCATCCAATATGAGCCCATGCCAAGCTCAACTTATGTATTGTATTTTTTTTGTAACACCTCGACCCAACAAATTGTTTTTATTTAATTATTTAGTTGTGCAAATACATTTTTGGCCTTGGGGGTATGGGTATTTTAGTCACTTTTTGTTCGGAATCAATTTTCAAAATTGAAATTATGGATTGCACCATTACATGTACCTCCCCTTGGACACTGATACTTGGATACAAATGTTACCCACACATGCGATGTGTTGCCGGCGTGTGGAAGGGCATCCTTGGTGGGGCAGTATGGCCTCGTAACACTTGTTGACTTGTTTCAGCAGCATTTGCGATGTGTTGCCGGCTTGTGTGTTGTGAAGCAATAGTCCTCCGGTTAGACTACTCAACCTTAGTCACGTGGTAATGTGATGTTATCCCGTGGTCTAGTCAAATAATCCCCAGGTTGGATTGTTTCCTCGGTACTTAATGTTGGTGTGGTGAATGTGTGAAATTTTTGGCATATTGTATTTTGCAAGGGTATGGTTGCCAGAAAAAAGATTTTGGGTTTTGATGATCATATTTTATATTAACGGGTTACTTGGGTGGTGTTGAAATTTACAGTTTTACAATAAGGATTAAATAAACTAGTTTACATTGTTTTCCAAGAATTTGAGAGGTATTAATTAAAGGGAGTTTCACTAAAACACCAAAAATGGGGGTTGAAATTATAAAAAAACCCAAGCACTATTTAAACATATAAACACACCCAAAACCCATCATTACACACACTCAAAACCCATTTATAAACACACCCAAAAAGTTGACTTTGGGGTTGATTTTGGGTGTGTTTCTATGTTTAAATAGTGCTTGAGTTTTTTTATAAATACATGTCTAGGATTGGGTTTATTTATAAATTTGTATTAATTAAATCGGTTTTCCTTATCATATGTCATGATATAAGTATACTGAAATAAATTATTTTCAAGTATCGGATGATATATATGTATGTATGCAAAAGGATTTTGTCGGATAGTGTTTTGGCATTATTTTCTAAACTGGAGAGGGTTATTTATGTTGAATATAAATTAAATGCACTCACATTTTCTCTTTTGCGTCTCCATGTTCTAGATATTCAAGGTCAAGACCACCACTCTGAGGCATCGACGCTGTCCGCATTGTAGGAATTCCTCATTTATCTTTCTCCACTTTACTTTTTCTCGGGTTGTAAACTTAATCTTTAGCTATTCTGCTTGCTTGTTTTGAGTTTAGGTAGAGGGCATGAAGTCCATTTGAATAGTCTTAACTATTGTGTGTGCCTTTACCTTGTGCATGTTGAAAGTTGGGATTATTTATGTGCTCGTTTGCAGGTACTATAAATTGGGATATATTCAATTTACAAGGGAGACTTTACCGAAATTGAAGTCTTTATTAATTTAAATTAGGGCTAAAGAACGTTTTAGGAAAGTGGGTTTGACATCGGTTAGATGTCGGATGGGAATCACGGTTCGTCATGAATTTCGAGGTGGGTCATATCATTTTTTGTAATTTTTTTTTTTCAATTTCATTTCAATCTTTTGTACAAACATGCATATACTAACAAGATTTATTATTTTTTGAAAAAAGTGGTCAATCACTTTATTTTAAGTACATTTAAATAACAAATGGCTAGATTGTGGTTCGAGTTTAAAAATTGAACCTTGAAAAACAAAATAATCATTTTATTTATAAAGAAAACATTGAATTTTAAAATATACTATTAGATAAATAAATGTAATATTTTTCTCTAAAATAAATATAATTTTGGGTTAAAACACGTCTTATCCTTAATTGCTATTTTTATTATTTTTTAAATTTTAACTTACCTTTTGTTTTACTCTTTTTACCCTCTTTTAAATAAAATATGTGTGTTTCAATATTTTACTTCACCAACAGTAGTTTCGGGGTTATTGAAGATTTCACTTTTAGGCCTTCTGCCTTTATGTATATAGATTATTATTTAAAATATTTTATTAAAGAAAAAAATTTAAATTTTAAAATACTATTTATTAAGTAATATAATTTATGAAGTTAATTAAAATATCTAATACTAATTATTCACTAAAGAAATAATAATTAAAATATAATTACCAATAAAAGTAATTAAATAGGCTAAGATATTATTTAATTACTAAAAAGAAAATATTTTAAAAAACATTTATTGACCTAAAGATACTAAGTTTATATTTATTTTCAAAAAAACTTTTCCCGACAAAAGTTTATTGGCAGAGATTAATTTCGTCGGGAGAGGTCTAATTCGATAAATATTTGCCGATATAGGTCCGTGCCAACGCAATGTCGTCAGGAGAGTTTGTTATCCCATTTTATTTTTAATTTAAAAAAATTTAAAATTAGTTTCTTTACTTTAGTTTTTTGGCCAACTTCTTTAATTGAATATATGTAATTAAGTAATATCTTAGTCTTTTTTAGTTACTTTAATTATTATTATTTTACTAATTTCATAAATTACTTAATAATTAGTAATTAATTACTTTAAATTATTTTGTGAACTTTTTTTTAATACTAAATAATAATTAAAACATAAAATATTTAAAGAGTATAGTTGCACGGCTATACTATTTGAAGATTCAAATTTATTTAAGTAAATATGACAAAGGGCACCGAAAAAGATAAGCAACCTCTTTATATCACTGTGCATACACATGCAGCACACATACAAGGCATAAATTTTCCCTCAACCCTAAGCGCACACTGGGGAAAAAAACTAGAACGTCGTCTTATTGATTTATCTCAAGACTTAGTTTTGCTACAGTGAAATGATGCAATATGGAAATATATTTGAAAAGTACAGATGTCCGGCGATGCACTATAAATAGAATATTTGAAAAGTATAGAGTATAGTCGCGCGGAGACTTTGGAAAAACACAAAAGGGAGAGAAGTTTTGTAAAAGAAGCCAAATGGACAAAATTGCCCTTATTTAGTTTTGGATTTCTTAAGGAATCATTTATATTTGCATATCTTGGATTTGAAAGTTGAGAGATTTTTCTGTCTTTTTTGAAAAAGCTTTGGCTTTTTCCGAAATTGAATATTTTTTTTTTGGCTAAAACCTAAATTTACTTAGAATATTTAAAACAGTATTGCTGCTCGGCTATACTGCATAAATAACGTATTTTGAATAGTATAGCAGCATATAGCCGTGTGGCTGTACGTCATAAATAGTCATAAATAAAATATTTTAACAGTATTGGCCTTAGTGAGCGGCTATACCGTTAATCGCAATTCCTCTTTTTTTAATTAGTTTAATTAGTAGTTATATTTTAATTATTATTTACTTAGTGAATAATTAGTATTTAAATATTTTATTAAAGAAAAAAAATTATAAAATTTAAATACTATTCTTCTGCCAATACGTATAAGAACAACAAACTGTGCATACAAACCATTGTAAGCCTATAAGATTGAAAAAAAAAATTATGTAACCAAGAAAAATAAGTTATAAGGAAATTGTATACGTAAACAAGAATAATATAATTTTTGTTGCCTTTACGACCGACCATGGAGGTACCCCGGAAGTGAGTCCAAATCTACCCCACCCACCACTTCCTTGAAGAATCTCAATATCCCTGCCGTAATGAGAACAAGTAATTGCAAAATTTAATTTATCTTTGTTTTGTGAGGAAGGAATACTGAGAAAGAGGAGAAGAAAAGAAAATGGGAAATTGGGTAGTTGTTTTGGAGGTTTCTGGAGGTTAGTGGGGATGGGAGTGCGAAATCAACGGTGAGTTTCTCTTAAATTTCCATATGGATTTTTGGTTTAAGGGCTTTTGCCTTTATATTTGGACCTAAGGCGTTCTTGTTTATAATTCAAAACTGAGTTTTTGTCAATTGAAAGATACGAATAAAACAAGATCCTAAAACGGAATGCTAGTAAAAGTAAATCAAACAAGATAGATTCAATTCCTTCTTTTACAGATTGCAACGAACGAAATTTGGGCTCCAAATTCTTAAAGAAGGGAGATAATCAGGTTACAAAAAGTTAGCTGCTGACGTCTAAATTCAGTGCCCAGTAAAAGTTTAAATCCCAGTGATAAGTTTGTGGAAGACAGTTCGACAAAATAAGTCATACACTAATTTGAAACTAAATATTACCCCTTTATAAAGGGCAACTATACTTCACTGAATATATATGTTTTTATGGTCTAACAAGCTGTACAAATTCAACAGTCAAGACACTCATTCAACTTCGGGCAGTGCCATTGAGCTACCACCTGGTTTCTCAGATGACTCCACAGTTTCACCTTCCCGTGCTGTTGAAGATGGCTCAACATCCATGTTTTCTGACTCTTTTTCTGGCATTGCCCCACAAACCTGAGAAGCGCCACCAGCTTTAGCTTCAGTTTCTGACTCCTCCAGTGACTTGGAGCTGCCTACAGGCCCAGCCTCAGATAAGGCTTCAATACTATCACCCCCCATGGCCAAGATAACTGGAGGCTGATCCATGCTTTCAGAAATATTTTCTGGCATTGCCACACAACCCCGAGAAGCATCACCAACTTTATCTTCAGATTCTAACTCTTCTGGTGATTTGGAACTGCCTGCAGGCCCTGCCTCAGATAAACCTTCAATGTCACCACCAACTTTAGCTTTAGCTTCAATGTCACCACCAACTTTAGCTTCGGGCACAGTTTCTGGCATTGGTGCACAAACCTGAGAATCATCAACAACTTTAGTTTCAGATTCTAACTCTGGTAATTTGGAGCTGCCTGCAGGCTCTGCCTCAGATAAACCTTCAACGCGACCACCCCCCTTGGCCAAGGTAACTAGAGCCGGATCTGGGTTTCTAAATGCAGTTTCTGGAATTGACCCACAAACCTGGGAAGCATCACCAACTTTAGCTTCACATTTTGACTCCTCTGGTGATTTGGAGCTGCCCGCAGGCCCAGCCTCAGGTAATGCTTCAACACCATCACCCCCCATGGTCAAGGGAGCTTCAGACTGATCCAGGTTTTCAGACACATTTTCTTGCATTGTCCCAGCAACCTGAGATGCATCACCAACTTTAGCTTCACATTTTGACTCTTCTAGTGATTGGGAGCTGTCCATAGGCCCTGCCTCAGATAAGCCTTCAACACTATCACCCCTCATGGCCAAGGTAACTGGAAGCTGATCCAAGTTTTCAGACACATCTACTGGCAATGTCCCACAAACCTCAGAAGCATCAACAATTTTAGCTTCAGATTTTGACTCTTCTAGTGATTTGGAGCTGTCTATAGGCCGTGCGTCAGATAAGCCTTCAACACTATTCCCCTCTATGGCCAAAGTAACTGGAAGCTGATCCAAGTTTTCAGACACATTTCCTGGCAATGTCCCACAAACCAGAGAAGCATCAACAATTTTAGCTTCAGAATTTGACTCTTCTAGTGAATTGGAGTTGTCTATAGGCCCTGCCTCAGATAAGCCTTCCACATTATTGTCCCCTATGGCCAAGGTAACTGGAAGCTGATCCAAGTTTTCAGAAACATTTCCTTGCAATGTCCCACAAACCTGAAAACCATCAACAATTTTAGCTTCAGACTCCAACCCCTCTGGTGATTTGGAGCTGCCTATAGGCACTGCATCAGATGAGCCTTCAACACTATCACCCACTATGGTTGAGGTAACCAGAGGCAGATCCATGTTTTCTGATACAATTTCTTGCACACTCTCACAAGCATCAGAAGCATTCACTTGAGGAACCATTTCAGCTACAGGTGTTTTTGAACCCTCCTCCATCACTGAGCAGCCAACTTTTCCCTCAGATGGACATACTACCTCTTTTCCTTCAGTCTCTATGGAAGATGCAGGCAGGTCAACGTTTTCTGAAATAGCTTCTTCCAGCAACATAACGCCAACCTGAGTAATACAAATATGAAATTACACATTAATAATCTAAGTAATAACAATAGATCAACCTTGTGATTGTCTGTGGGCATTGACATGCACTTACTTGTCATAAGTAATCGTTATCCTATACCTATCGAGACATTACGGTTTACAATTCTGTACAGTTGGAGTTCTGAGATAAATTAAGGAGTTTTTTTTTCTAGGGCAGAAGAAGAGAAGAGGGGGGGGGGGGGGGGGGGGGGGGGAGGGAGGGGGGGGGGTT